AAGGTCAAGGGCCTTAGCTGTCCTGTCAGTTCTGATTCCCCAGCACTTAAGAGTAGTGCATGACAACGTTATAGTACACAATAAATAGCTGTTCAACAGAAACAACAAATCAACAGATCTATCTATTGTTGCGGAGTGCAAAAGAGATCACACTGGACCCAAGTGTAGGATGTTAGGAGGAGTCTTTATTTCCCAAGCCTGGTGACAGCAGCTCCTGCTACACTCCAGGAGCCACTGCGCTGAGCTGCCACAGTCAGGGGTTTTTACCTCTCATCCTCCAATCAGATTGAGAGCCATGCAGTATAAACAACATTTCAGGCAGGAAGGGAGTTACCAGAGCCCAAAGTTTTCCTGTAGTTACCCTAGTCTAGTACACTAAGGAGGCAGGAGGGACCAGGTGCACGGAGCCTCCGTAGTAATTTGCACGCTGTCAGTTTTTCTGAATGGAGCGGAAGGCAGGCAGGGTAGGGTGCACCTTTCGTGATTAGCTTGAATGATGCAGAAGAGGTAGGAAGGGCAGGGTGCAGAAACTCCCGTTTTGGTGCCCTTTCCGCTATCCATTAACCTGACAAGTGGTGAGTGCCATCAATGATGGCGCCCCATTACACTACTTACACAATATATGTAGCTATCCACTTCTGTTTCTATTGCTGTTCCTTCATTTATTGCCTATGTTCTGTAATAAAACCAGTGTTCCCTCTTTTCACTCTTGTCATTGCCTAGTGCCTGTCCCTTCTCAAATAATCTGTTGTTTAAATAACTCATCTTCTTTCTTAAATTTGATCTCATTCCGTTGGCTTTCCATTGAGTCAAGGCTGGACTTGAAACTCTAAAAAGCCTAACCGGGCCTTTCGTCATTCCTGCCGTGTCCTCCCTCTCAAGCCTTTCGTGATTTGTGCTGTGTCCTCTCTGCTCACAGAGCCTCGGTGCTTAGTGATCTGCTGTCAGAATTCCTTGCAGTTGTTTGGCTGGTTCCTTCATGAGATTGTCTGAACTCACTTGCTTTCTGATTGTGCCACCAACATGTAAACTGAGACATGGTCATTCCTTTTCACTATTGTATATCCTCTTTATAGACCAAATAGATATTTGATGACTAAATGAATTAATACCAGGGAAGGAAGGCACCACAGTATATTGCTAGCAAAAAGTTAATAGAAGGATAGTAAGACTTGGTTTGGGAATTTGTGTCAGAAAGGTGAGGAACTTAAAATTTCACATTTGGACAGACTAGCTCTTAAATTTTGTAAATATTAAAAACTTCTGTAAAACGGCTGATCTTAAGTAGTGTTATTTTTAACCTCAAATGTGTTTATGTGTACACTAAAGGTTGAACATTGCTATTGAAAATCTGCAATGCTTGAAAATTCACAACTTGATCCCAAGCATTCTGAACTAGGTGTACTCAACTTCCACACTGTTGTCTCCCCAAAAAAGCCACAATATTTGGGGATGTGCTAGGCTGAAGCTAAAGGCCAGAAGTTCCATCTAAGTTTCCCATATGGGTGTTAGCCAAGTATTTGAATAGTCATTTACTCCCTCTCAGGGTACACATTAGCAGAGAGCAAGATCAGAAATGGAGGTTGAACTTAAGCCCAACTACTCTAGTATGGAACACCAACCCCCAAGATGCATAATTTTTCTGTAATATACACTATACTTTTATACTTGATTTTGGCCAAAACACCAGGAAGCAAGTGTTTATTATACTTAGGCAAAAATGTATCCATTATTATATTTCAAGCTGTATCCAAACTGCTATGAAGTAGAAATAGATTTACCATCCCATGGTAAAATTTTGATAGAAAAAAAAATCCATGCTTGTGTATGATATTGTGTGCAGTGGTTGAGATACATATACATACATAAGATAGGTACAGTTTAGTATGGTACTAAACATCTGTGGGGCTGACTCGGGCACAGCAGGTTAAAATGCCACCCATGGTTATACTTCCAATCCAGCTCCCTGCTACTGCACCTAGGAGAGCATCAGAAGGTGGCTCGAGTGCTTGGCCTACCACATTAGAGACCCAAATGAAAGATTAATTTGGCTGCTCCACTTCTGACTCAGCTTCCTGTTTATGTTCCGGGGAAGCAGCAGAGGATGGCTCACGTCCTTGGGTCCTCCATATAGAAGAGCTGGAAGAAGTTCCTGGCTCCTGGCTTCGGGTCAGTTAACTCAGTTCTGGTGGTTGTGGCCATTTGGGGAGTTAAGCAGCAGATGGATCTTTCCCTCTCTATCTTTCCTACTCTCTCTAAATATGCCTTTGAAATAAAAAGAAATCAATCTTAAAGAAGATGTATTCGAGTTCCTGTCACACAATATAGGAGACATGTATTGAATTCCTGGCTCCCAGCCTCTTCCTGGTCCAGTCCCGGCCACTGGGGATTTGAGGGAATGAATTTGGAAGGAATTCAGAAGAAAGCTGTGAAAATGCTAGATGAGATCTGAAAGTGTGTGCTTCACATCACAGAGTGGCAAAAAGCCAGTCTAATTGAGAGAAAACAGATTGGAGCTGGCAGAGCAGCTGCAATGTTAGGGAAGAGGCTTGAGAATAACAGATTAGACCCCCAAATTTGAAGATAACGAATCAGAAAGCTCTTTCATCTGCTAGTTCACTCCCCACATGACTGTAACAGCCAGAGATGAGCCAGTCTGAAGGTTGGAGCCTGAATTTCCTCTGGGTCTGCCCTACAGGTTCCAAGTCCCAAGGTTTTGGGCCATCCTTCACTGCTTTCCCAGGCTGTATGCAGGGAGCTATATGGGAAATGAGCAGCTGGGACACGAACCAGTGTCCATAAGGGATGCAGCACTTGGAGGAGGAGGATTAGCCAGTTGAGCCAAACACACTGACCAAACCCAAATACTTGAGCTGTCACTGTTGCAGAATCTGATTAGGTGGAAGCTAGAGTTGATGGAGGCATTGAACCCAGGCAGTTTGAAACAGGATGTAAATATCTTAACTCCTAAAAAGTTAAACATCCTCCTATTTTTTAAAAAGATTTATCTATTTTTATTGGAAAGGCAGATATACATGGAGGAGGAGAGACAGAAAGTTCTGTCAATGGCTTACTACCTAAGTGGTTGCAATGGCCAGAGCTGAGCCAATCTGAAGCCAGGAGCCAGGAGCTTCTTTCTGGTTTTCCATGCAGGTTCAGGTCCCAAAGCTTTGGGCTGTCCTTGACTGCTTTTCCAGGCCACAAGCAAGGAGCTGGATGGGAAGCAGGGCCGCCAGGATTAGAACCAGTGACCATATGGGATTCCAGCGCATCCAAAGCAAGGACTTTAAAAGCCGCTATGCTATTGCACCGGGCCCCTCCCATTTCTTCGTATTTAATCAGAATGTATAATTTTCATCTGGAGCAAGGGTTAGTTCAACTCAAACCATTCAACCATAAATGGAAGCCAGAACTTCTAACCCTTTTTTAAAATGTTTTTTTTTTTTTTTAATTTTTCCTCATCATCTTTAGCTAACAGCTATGTATCCCTTCCTCTCAGAAACAAAACTAGTTTGTAATGTTGGCCGACCTTCTTCTCTAATATTCCTGCATTCTGTACCTCAAGTTGAGAATGTGTTTGGAATTTTAGTTTCATGGTTTTGGTCTTTATTCTTGAGTACCACTTTATATAGAAGTAGATTTGTTCAAAATCGTGTTCATTCAAAAATTTGGAGACAAGTTCCATTTTCTCGCAGCCAATAATTATTGATGAGAAAGCAGTTACAAATTTTTTTTAATTATTATTATTATTATTATTATTTTTATTGGAAAGGCGGATATACAGAGAGGAGAGACAGAGAGGAAGATCTTCCGTCTGATGATTCACTCCCCAAGTGAGCGCAACGGCTGATGCTATGCCGATCTGAAGCCAGGAGCCTCTTCCGGGTCTCCCACGCGGGTGCAGGGTCCCAAAGCTTTGGGCCGTCCTCGACTGCTTTCCCGGGCCACAGGCAGGGAGCTGGAAGGGAAGTGGGGCTGCCGGGATAGAACTGGTGCCCAAATGGGATCCCGGGCATGCAAGGCGAGGACCTTAACCACCGCGCCGGGCCCAACAGTTACAAATATTTTTAGCGGTGAGGCCATAATTTGTGTGTGCATACATTTTTAACTTGACACACAATAAAACTTTCTAAGCATGTTTTTCTGAGATTTCTTAGGCTTTATTCATAAAATAATCTAAAAATAAGTTGAATTTGATCCAAATTGGAGGTTTTTGCTTTGCAGAATACATTGCTAAGAGCCCCGGCCCAGTGGAGCTCAGGTGTCTTTCGGCAGGTGTGTGGACTCGGCCAGGAGGATGGGATTGTTTCTGTCCAGTGGAGAGAGAAAAGCTCAGATTGAGATTCTGCAGATTAGGTTTTGGAATATGGGTCCAGCTTGATAAACTTGGGACAAGGAGTTTAAAAAAAAATCAATATCTTTGTGTCACATTTCCTTATTTATAAAGTAAGGATGATGCTCTCTTTCCTAGCTACCCTTCTGAGCTCTTTTCTGAAGATCAGATGGGACCGTTATATGTGAAAACACCTTAAGGTGAGAGAATGCTTATCGTTTCTACCTGTCTAGCTATGCTGTGCAGATGATTCAGTAATATGCATGATAGAGATTTAGTCATTGTGAACTGAGTATTTTGATGGAGCATTATAAGCTAAAGCAAAATTGTTTTTGTCATCACTATGTTGTTAACTCTATTAATGAGTGAAAACTCAAGAGTCCAGGGCAGGCTGAGGTCTGCATACCATAATAAGTAGTAAGAGAAAACAGTGTGAAAAAGTAGACAGTAGGTGTCAAAAATCCTTGCAACATTGTTCAGATCTTGTCAAGGGTTATTACATAACTTGTACTCCTCTGTAGCAACTGTCCTGGGGACTATTTCATTCTGCAATGCATAGACTGGTAATAAAATGCATCCACTTACCGTGTGTGGGGTAGAGAGTAGTTTGGGCTGACCCTGCAGCTGAACTGTTGGGAAAAACATTTCTGGAGCCTGTGTTCTTTACTCATGCAGATTTTATTTATAAAGTAAATCAGGAATTTTGAGAGGGGAAGCAAAGAAGACAGGACAGAGAAGAATGGGAAAGGTATTTAGAATCATCCTGTGTGATGCTCAGAAAGAGGTGTGATTAACTGTAGACTGGGGTAAGAAACTAAATAGAGAGGAACTGAGCATGGCAATGGGAGCGCCTTTTGCTGCCCCAGTCAGCAAGAAACAAGGGCACACCCTTCTAGATTTTGTTGCAGAAAGATTGATTCCGGCAGCATATAATTTGCATTCTGGTTCCATGGGAGAAGAGGTTCATAGATGGGCACATATTCTCACATCCCTGAACCATGAACTGGAGTTTTCCTCCTGAAAGAAGAAACAGACTGTGAGAAGACAGCTTCCTCCTGCAGCTGTAGCCTTTATCAACTCTTCTCCTGTCTCTGTGCAGGGACATGAGGCCTCCATTTATAAATCTCCACGTCCCTCCCATATGCCTCTTCTGGGACCCTTTTCCTTTGGGTTGCCAACTCCTTTCTTCAATGTCTTTTCTATAGTCTCCTTTTGTTTGTTTCAAATTTAAGTTTCCTCAAACTTCAAAATACTCTTGACTATGTTACTGTCCCACCTTTCACCCATGCCTCCCCAGAGAGCTGGCAGCCCTCTCCCTCAATATCCCTCCTGTTCATATGTTGGTCCCTGGCAATTTGAACCGTTTCCACTGTGCTGAAACTTTCCGCTCAAGGGTTACTCTAGGGCTACCCACTACATTCTGTGGCCTATATTCTGGACCCTTTTTTGCCACACACACGATGTTGTTGAACAACCCTCATTCTTGGTTCTGACCTCTGCTGACATGGTCTTCCTAGTGTTCTGTCTGCTCTTCTTGGTGTGGTTACTCCGTCCTCTCAAACTGAATCCTGCCATTTTCAACTAACTGAACTTCATCTCCATGATGCTAATGCCATCTTAAACTGTTTCCCAGATGAAACTCACTGCTTTCCTCATCAAATTGGTGTGTTTTCCCCGAGTTTCCTTGTGTATCTTCTATACTACTTTTCAACTTTGTCAATTGAAGCCTGAATTACATTCCCCGATGTTCTGACTGGTTTAATGTAGTTTGAGCATTGGGATTTTTCACTTAATTATAAATATGTACAGCCCTTTGCTCTTCTTAAATTTTATTTTATTTTTGATGTTATGTACATAGTTGACAAGGATGCATGTTCATGAGGGTCACCAGTTAGAGTGGGGATGGCTGAGGCATAGGGTAAGGCAGGTGGGACAAATGCTTCCAATTTTTCTTCCATATCTGAAGGAGTAGGAGAAGTGAGGGGGTGAGATGCTTTCAGTAGCATCAGGATGTTTAAAAAGCTGCTTATGTACAAGACTGAGAACCGGTGGCCAAAATCCTAAATGTATTCCAAAGTCTTTTCTTTCTCTTTAAAAATATTGAGTTGAACGGTACAGCAACAGAGAAGGGGAAAGGAGAGAGACAAAAAGAGATCTTCCATCTCTGGTTCTCTCCTCAAATAGCTGCTACAACCAAGGCTGGGCCAGGCTGAAGCCAGGAGCCAGTAATATCATCGGAGTCTCCCACATGGGTGGAGGGGTACAAGTACTTGGGCCATCTTCTGAAGGCTTCCCAGGCACCCCAGCAGGAAGCTGGATTGGAAACACAGCACATGGAGCTCAAACTGCTATCCCAGTATGGGAAGCTGGCATTCCCACAATGCTGGGTCACCTTAAAAACTTTCCTAAATATAACTCCCTCCTCAGTCATCCATTCACCTCACAACTTGCTTTCCCTAATCTCCAAATTTTTGTGTGGTTTCTTATGACACCACTTTGTTCTTTGTGATATTATTTCTTTTATCTTACACTAGACCGTAACCTATGTGCACAAAGTCTGTGTTTGGATAATCTTTCTGTAAGGATTCATGATATGTGTCATTTGTACTTCTTGGGTGACAGTGGATGAATGAGTTCATACATGTAGAAATATGAGGGAGAATACATTTTTTTTACAGTGCCTAGTACTTTATAATGACATTAGCTATGTTCTTATTTATATAGTTACCACATAATACCTTTTTTTCACTTTGAGTAACTGAAGTATATATGTGATATGTGTGATTATACAAACATACATGTATAGAGAGTAAGGGAGACAGGCTGTGAGGGATGGCTCACACTTGCTGTGGAGGTTAGACCCCGAGATGTGCAATCAGCAAACTGGAAACTCGGAAGAGCTGAGGGTGCAAATTCTAGTCTGAAGGAAGGAGATGGCCAATGCCCCAGGGCATCCACTACTCTGTAAGTACCTGGGATTCTACTGTTAACCTTCAAAAGACAAGACTGATTCTCCAAGTTCCTTGATCCCTTTTTAGGCCTTTACCACATTGCTGCCCTCTTGTAGTGGTACCCAAATTGCTTTATGTGTTTTTCTGACCAAAGATTGTCTTGTGAAGTCCCCACATACCTTCAAAGATCTTCTTTAACATACACTGCTGGGAATTCTGAGTGGTGCAAACTCCTTCTCCACGAAGACATTTTCCTTGATCATTCATATAAGCACAGGTGTTGCAATTTAATACCGCACCTAAACATTGAAAATATGCTTGATGAAAAGTGTTTATGATCCAGGTGTGAATCACACATCTGGGGAGGGATGACAGGCAGTAGACAGCCTGAATATCACTACCTTTGCTGAAGAATCTCAAATTGGCCTAATACTGACTCTGGACTCTAATCCATACTCCATTGGCTTTCTGAACATCTATAATTCTGTCACGTCTGACTTAACAGGAGCAATGTATCATCTGGCTGGCTCTCTTTCATACTCTTGCCCACAAAACATAAACACAAAGTCACATTCAACTAATCCATAAGACATGTTGAAGCGTTCTGATCCTGAAAGTCTTGTGTGTGGTATTCTCCATGCTCAAACTGATCTTTCTGTGGAATGCTTCTATATTGCCTCATTTACAATCTCAACTGTTCATCTAGAGCAAAAGCAAAGAGAACTGGAAAAAATATTGGCTTTGAATAGAGCTAGGTTTGAACCCAAGATCTGCCACTTTCTATGTGTCATATTAGCCTCTCACCTGAAAAATTATATTAATTGTGCTGTGTAATGGGTTAAATAGGAAGTATTTACATCTAGTAATAACTGAGGCATGAAATGTAGAGAGCTGTGGGCATTCATATTCATAGCTTATTATCAAGACTGACTACTGGCATTTTGGCCTTGAACTGTTTTTCTTCAAAAGGGGCCTTAATTCAAATCATGTAGTCTTCAAGATCTTACAAAACCTAGAACATGCCTCTTGACATTATTGTGAAGACACTTTTGAGAGAACTATTTGTGAAGTATTATCAGGTTTTTTTTTTTTTTTTTTTTTTTACTTCCTGATCTAAAACTGGATTTTCTTGAGTGTTGTGCATTCCCCACCTGAAGACAAGCACTGGAACTGATCCAAATGTGGCTCACCTGGGGATGTACTTGAAACTGGTGCGGCTGAAGGTTGTTCACTCAAAGATTTGTCAGGCGAAGCCTGTTCACCCGAGGCAGCAGCCTGTTCGCCAGAAGAATGTTCACCTGAGGTAGCCGCCTGTTCTCCTGAAGCGTGTTCACCTGAAGTAACAGCCTGTTCACCGGAAGTGTGTTCACCTGAGGTAACAGCCTGGTCACCTGAAGCATATTCACCTGAAGTAGCCGCCTGTTCGCCTGAAGCGTGTTCAGCTGAAGTAACAGCCTGTTCACCTGAAGCATGTTCACCCGAGGTGACAGCTTGTTCACCCAAAGCGTGTTCACCTGAAGTGACAGCCTGGTCACCTGAGGCGTGTTCACCCGAGGTAACAGCTTGTTCACCCGAAGCGTGTTCACCTGAAGTAACAGCCTGTTCACTCGAAGCGTGTTCACCTGAGGTAACAGCTTGTTCACCCGAAGCATGTTCTCCTGAAGTAATAGCCTGTTCACCCGAAGCATGTTCGCCTGCAGCCTTATCAACTATAGATTTTTCACCTGAGGGTTGTTCTCCTGAAGCGTGCTCGCCGGTATGTTCACTTGCGGCATGTTCACCAGAGGTGTGCTCGCTTGTGCTGTGCTCACTGGAACCGTGCTCAATTAAAGCATTCTTACCTGATGTCTCATACAAAGCCTCGCTATCGGAAGGGTTTCCAAAGGAAAAATAGTCACCTGTAAGCTGGTGATTTGCAGCTTGATCCATAGAGCCAGGAGGCTCAACAGGTCGGCCTGGTGGTAAAGATGAAAAGATTAAAGCCTGCCTTCCTAGGAGAAGGGGGTAGTGTCACACTCCTAGGTTTCCCATGGTTCTAGATCAGGTACTTAAAGTACAGATGCCAGAGGAAGTCAACCCAGTGCTCCAAGAGACCATGAAAACAGATATTTATGAAAACACAGAGACCACCTCTGGGATTCAAAGGCAGTATTTCAGATACACAATATTAAGAACTTCACAGTTGGATCATCCAACTTTGAGCCAAAAGCACCTGAAGGAAAATCAGCTTGCCTCCCTGCCAGCACCAGGAAATCAATGCACTGTCAACTCATGATACCAGAAACCCCCCAGGAGTCTTCTCTCCAATTTTGCAGTGAGTGAAAGGCAAGATATGGAAAAGAGGAAGCAAGAAGTTTACAATGGCTAAGTAATTTTAGCCTAAATTGAGAGTGGTAGATTTTCAGCTTTGGCCAGGATAAACTCTGGAAGATGACAAATGCCTAATGGATGCACAAAAATTATTAGAGGGATAGGCCTGGCGCTATGGCACAGCAGGCTAAAACTCCGTCCTGTGGTGCTGTCATCCCATATGGGTGCTGGTTAGTATCCCTGATTGCTCCAACTCAAATTTAGCACTCTGCTTATGGCATAGGGAAGCAGCAGAGAATGGCTCATATCCTTGGGACATTGTATCATGGCGATGTATCATGTGACTCATGAGGGCAGTCAGGAAGAAGCTCCTGGCTCTGAGCTTCATATCAGCTCATATAGCCATTTGGGGAGTAGACCCGGAGGATATAAGACCTTCCATCTCTCTTTCCCTTTCTCTCTCTAAAATCTACCTTTCAAATAGAAATAAATATATATATTTTTAAATTAGGGTAATTAAGTCACCTTCATTTGGTAAGGGCACATGCTTCCTCATATTTAATCCCCAGCTCATATGGTTTGGGGAAAGTGGAGTTACTATGAATCAATTATCAAGGTCAAAAAATTATTGGCACGAGGGTGCCGAGGCCCAGGTTCTTAGGCCATCTTCCACTACTTTCCAAGGCCCATCAGCAGGAAGGTGGATTGGTGGTAGAGCAGCTGGAACTGAAACTGGAGATTATATGGGATGCCAGCATCGTAGGTGGGAGCTTTACCCTTCATAACACAGCACAACCCCTCTAGATGCTCAGAAATATCTGCTTGACTGATTGTTCAATAGTTAAAGTTTTAACAGAGTCGTTTCTTGTATACCAGAAGATTGAAAGCCTGTGAATTTGTTTCACATGTGACTGACATACTGCCATCTAGCGGAAAGTATCTGTTTCTGAGTCAACTTTTGAAAGTGTAACAAAGCAGTGAATTCTCTGAGGTTACACTGTAGCTCAGAGCTCATGACCTCTCTTTTCCTGTAGGACTCAGGAGGAAAAACAGCCCATATTATTCGGGGATTCTGAAAGAGGAGATACACACAATTGGATGAGTAGAATATAGCCACAGTGAGGCTTATAAAGTCTGTGACCTAGACCCTGCAGTGTGTGTTTCCTTTTAAAAATTTATCTATTTGTTTGAAAGAAAGGTACACACACACACACACACACACACGAGCGCACATGCAGAGAAGGAGAGAGATAAAGAGGGAGGCAGACAGACAAACACAGAGAAATCTTCCATTGTTGTTCACTAACCCAAGTGGTAGCAATAGCTGGAACTGGGCTGGTCCAAAGCTAGGAGCCTGGAGCTTCTTCCTAGTTTGCCCAGAGGCCCAAGCACTTGGGCTGTCCTCTGATACTTTTCTAGGCATATTAGCAGAGAGCTGAGTCAGAAATGGAGCAGCTAGAACTCAAAATGGTACCCATATGAGATGCTACCGTCACTGATGGTGGTTTGCTATGCCACAACGCTGGTTCCCCAATCCCCGCTCTGTTCTGAGATGTATCTCTGGACATATGACATCCTCATCTCCTATATTTCTTCAGCACACTGCCAACATAGCATCCTCTATGTTCAGTAGGAGGGTTAAACCTTTACTGTACTTACACTGAACCTGTAGGTCCAACCTCCCATCTCACAGAACATCAGGTGCAAATGTGTTTTGGCTGAAGAAGCAGAGGCAGAATAATGCCAGGCCAGTGGTCACTTCTGACCATAAAACCATAACCAGGAGAAATCAACTGGTTTGGAAGCTCTCAGAGTTGGGCTGGATTTATTACTCTTGATTCTGGGGCAGATTGGTGTCGGTAACTAAGCACCTTCAAGAAGGTTCCCTTACATTTTCACCCACAGACTAAAGAGTAGAAGACTCACCTCTGGCAGATCCAAGCAGATAAAGACCCATCAATAGGATAAACTTGTTCATCTGGATTTAAGGAGAGAGGGGACCCTAGTGTAGGGCACCCAAGAGCTGTGAAGAAACTGACCAGAGTTCCACACCTGTGGGTGGAATTCTAGAACCTCAGGGACAATGCATGCTTCTTCACAATGGATGATGCTAATGTCCTTGAGTAATCTGTTCAGCCAGCTGGCCCATGATGACCAATGGCAGATTCCACTAGTGAAGACTAATGGATATTTTCCATTTATAAAATGGTGTGTTGGATTAATCTGCCCCATCTCAAAACAAAACCAAAGAAATTGCCAAAATAGTATGTGTATTTTGTAATCAAGTTTAAAAGATATCCACTCTTTTTAAAAAAATCTTTGGCACTTTCAACCAGCTAGGTGTGACCAGCTAGTTGTTTTCTATTCGGCTTCCTAAATCAATTATTTCTTTTTCTTGGCCCTGACCTGTAGCCCAGAAGGTTGATCTGTGTTGACCTCACCACCTCAGTGTTGGGCGAGTCTGTCTTCAGGTTGCCTATAGCCAAAGGAAGACTGGAGGGAGGCGAACAGAGGGCAGCAGAGAGGGAAAGAGGAGGCTGAGGCTTTACAAGACAAAGCTCCTGTTTGCAACTAGGTTATGGTAACATGTTTTCCATCCCTGCTTCCTTGGAATCGATAATTGTTTATTGCTGGTGCTAAAATCTGGATAACCTAACTTGAAAAAAAAAATTGTTTCCAATAAGGAAACAAACTGCCAGCTTCTGTAAAGTTTGTCAATATGGACTTCGGTCAGTCATGGTTTTGGCAAGAAACAGTTGGCAAACTCAAGTAGGCACCTGCGGAGAGTTTACACAGGGTAGAGGGGCAGCTGAAAGCTGTGTCTTGAGTAGTCACTTCTATCAGGGAGGCAGACAAATTGGGGGGTGAATGTGGTGAGGCATACATCTAGAAGTCTTAGGGGATTGATTGGCAGAAATCCCGAGCCCCCGTCTCATACATATATCTCCTTGCTTTACCTTCTTAGATCACCTTGTAACATGCACCACTGAATGCTGAGTCTAGAACAGGTCTACTTGCCTTATTATAATTATTTGCCTAATGTCTATTCTGCTGTTGAAAACTAGCACCCTATTTGTCACAATCATTATCATAGCCTCAATGGAAGTAACACTGATTGTTACATAGCAGGTTCTTTTAAAAAGTATTTACTTTTACTTGAAAGGTAGATTTACAGAGAGAGAGCGAGAGAGAGAGACAGAGATCTACAATCCTCTGGCTCACTCCCCAAATGGCTGCAATGGCTAGAGCTGAGCCAATCCGAAGCCAGGATCCAGGAGCTTCTCCTGGGTCTCCCACATGGGTGCAGGGACCCAAAGGCCTTGGGCCATCCTTGACTGCTTTCTCAGGCCACAGCAGGGAGCTGGATGGGAACTGGAGTAGCTGTAAATAGAACTGATGCCCATGGACCTGGCATGGAAGCCTAGTGGCTAAAGTCCTCGCCTTGCATATACCAGGATCCCATATGGGTGCTGGTTCGTATCCTGGTGGCCCTGCTCCCCATTCAGCTTCCTACTTGTGGCCTGAGAAAGCAGTTGAGGACAGTCCAAGGCCTTGGGACCCTGCATCCACGTAGGAGACCCGGAAGAAGCTGCTGGCTCCTGGCTTCTGGCTTTGGATCGGCACAGCTCTGGCTACTTTGGGCAGAAGAGCTTTCTTTCTGTCTGTCTCTCCTCCTCTCTGTACATCTGACTTTCCAAGAAAAAAAAATCTTAAAAAAAACTTTTGCCACACTTGTAGGTGGAGGATTAGCTTGTTGAGCCACCATGCTGGTTCCAACCTAATAGGGTGTTAATACATTTTTCCTGAATGGTTTTCTCCCTCTCTCTCTGCCTTGTGAAGGAAACTGCACAGAGGCCCTAATGTGGACATTTTAAAGGCCCTGGGTCAGCTGAAAAAAGCAGGATCTCGAGTCTGAAGTTGTAGAAGGAGGCCTCCCCTTCTTGATGTGAGTTGGAGAACAAAGCGAAGGTTTGCGGGAGTGTGTGTATGGGAGGGGCTCAGCGCAGCAGTTAGGATACCATTTAGAGTGTCTTGGTCTGTTTCCTATTCCAGCTTCCTGCTTATGCATACCCTGGGAGCAGCGTGTAGCTGGGTCCCTGTCACCCATGTGGGAGAACTGGATTTGGTACCTGGCACCTGGCATCAGGCCCAGCCCTGGATATTGTAGGTAGCATTTAGGGAATGAAACAACAGATGAAAAATGATCTCACTCTCTCTCTTTAATGTTTTAAGAAAATAAACATCAGTGCTTGCTTCAGCAGCACATATACTAGAATTGGAATGATACAGAGAAGATTAGCACGACCACTGTGCAAGGATGACATGCAAACATAACCATCAAATGAGGTCCCCACCCCAACTCTTTAAGAAAATAACTAGGACTTGGCAGCCTTTGGCTGAGCTCTTTTATTGTAGAAAAAAATCATGCAAGGACATACTATCAGTAGTTCTTTTCTTTCCTGGGGAGTGAATTTGAACAAACAGCTACAGAATCACATTGGGTCAGATTTTCTTATTTTGAGGTAAGAAAGTAAAGCTACTGTCTGGACCAGCCCACAGCTATTTCACATTTAGTCATACCTCTCTTGGCAAATACCAGAGCTTTTAGGAAATTTATGCCTTTTCTCTACTTTTCCTCCAGGTTGAGGTTGAATTTAGGAGACTATATTGCAGGGTGTGGCGTTGTGGGGTAGTGGGCTAAGCTATCTGCAATGCTAGCATCCCATAGGGGTGCGGGTTTGATTCCCAAATACTCATTTCCAATCCAGGTCCCTGCTAATGTACCCGGTAGAGCAGCAGAAGGTACAAGTCCTTGGGGTCCTGCATATACCTAGGAGACCTAAATGAAGTTTCTGGCTCCTGGCTTTGGTCTGCCCAGCCTTGGCCATTTCCAGCCTTTTAGGGAATGAACCAGTGGGTGGAAGATCTCTGTCTTTTCATGCTCTTCTTGCTCTTCCTCTCTGTCTGTAATTCTCCCTTTCAAATAAAATAAATACCTCCCCACCCCAAGAAGGCTATCTTGCAGTCCTACCCAGTCGGCTTTACCTGAGCTCCAGTTTGGAAACTTTCTCCCTGTGCCCAGCAGTCTAGCACTTCAAAGCCAAGTCTATGAGCCCTGGAGCCCCTGGTGTATCAGAAGACATGTGCTTCTGGACAAGTCATTCTTCGGCTTGAAGCATGAGCCAAGACACCAGAGGCAGTTCCTGCGTCCTTCTGCTACTGATTTTTTCCACTCTAGGTGAAAGGATAGATATATGTTATATAATGTTAATATAATAGTATTGTAAAGCAACATTTATTTTCTCGTGGAGTTACAATATATCATAAGCCTGAAACAACATTAAACACACTGACGAAATAGTAGAACAGTAACCGATTTAGCTGAGCAGGAGGTAAAACACAGCTACCTCTAGAGGGAGATAGTGAGAAGAGTCAATTATGTACCCCAGGACACCTGGAAGACTGCTTAAGAGGGGTCAAGCTTTTTTTTTGCAGCGGCACAAGCTTCTACTTGGGATGCTCCTGTATGATGTCAGAGTGCCTGGCGGGGTCCAAGCTATTCTGCCTTCGAGCCAACCTCCTGTTAATGTGAATCTAGGAGGTATCAGGTGATGGTTCAGAGAGATGGGTCTCTATGGGACACCAGGATGGAGTTCCTAGCCCAACCTTGACTTTGTCAGGTATTTGGGAGTGAATCAGTCTGTCTGCCATTCTTTTCTTCTTTTTTTTTTTTAAAAAAAAAAGATTTTAAAATTTAATTTATTTTTTCATTACAAAGTCAGATATACAGAGAGGAGAAGAGACAGAGAGGAAGATCTTCCATCCGATGATTCACTCCCCAAGTGAGCGCAATGGCTGGTGCTATGCGGATCCGAAGCCAGGATCCAGGAACTTCTTCTGGGTCTCCCACACGGGTGCAGGGTTCCAAAGCTTTGGGCTGTCCTTGACTGCTTTCCCAGGCTACTGGTAGGGAGCTGGAGCTCCTGGGATTAGAACCTGTGCCCATATGGGATCCCGGGGCATTCAAAGCGAGGACTTTAGTCGCTAGGCCACACTGCCGGGCCCAGTCTGTTTGCCATTATTTTCAACCAAGATCTCTTTCAAGTATATAGAAGTTAAGACCCTCAGCTCTTTCCTCTCTCTTGAGTTCTGATTCAGACATCCAACTCCCAGCTATCCTTATTTCAAATATCAAGGTGACATCTTCCCTCCTGCCTCCTTGGGAGTTGGGAGATCTGGTCTTTGCTAAGAGGTTTCGTGCACGGAGCACAGGTATAGGGGTTAGGAGTGGGGATGAGGTGGCATGCTGACGCCTGTAGGATTCTGTGCAAGTCTGAGTACTGAAAGGTGAGCTCTGCAGTCCCCTTCTCTTCCCAACTTCCTGAATATTGATGAACACCTCTACCATCCCCTCCCTCCCCACCTAGGCAACAGATCGGCATATCTTTCTCTGGAGAAATAGAATAGTCACAGATTTTACAGTTGAGTAAACCCAAGAAAGAGTTGTTTGTCAATTCTGCCATTATGACTCTAGTGTGAAATCTCACATAGAAATGTTTGGAGAGAGGGTGGGGAGACACCACCTGTTGGCTCACTCTCCAAACTGCCCGCAATGACTGAAGCCCAGCTGCTGAGCCATGACCTCCAGTGAGGTCTCTGATATAAGCGACAAGAGCCAACTGTGTGAGTTATCACCGCTGCCTAACCTGGAATCTGGAGTGAAAAACTCGAGTTGGCAATTGAATCTAGGCACTCCAGTGTGGGATGTGTCTTACCACTAGGCTACCTGCTCACCCTTGAAGCTTCATTTGGTAAGTCGTCGTCCCTGTGCACACAGGGTTTCCAGTGGCTCTTTTTATATATTTTTGAAGGATTTGCTTTCTTGTGAAAGGCAACGTTAGAAAGGGAGTGACAGAGAGAGAGAGAGAGAGAGAGAGAATCTTGCCAACTCGAGCACAGAGGCCATCTTCACTGTTCCCCACGCCATTAGCAGAGAGCTGGATTAGAAGCGGAGCAGCCAAGACACGAACTGGTGTCTATATGAGATACTGGCATCACA